ACTCGGGTGGGGGTGGGGGGGGTGGGGAGGGGGGGGGCCAAAATGGCAGGGGTTGATATGTTTTTGGGAGATAAGGTAAGGAGTAGATTCGTGTTTTATGAATTAGTTTTTCAAAGATTTTTGAGAGAGGGTATTAAGTTGGATATTGGCCTATAGTTTATTCCAACGCTGTTTGGTCTCCTCCTTTGAGGATCAGGGGTGACCCTTTCGATTTTGAGTATTCGTAGGGAAGTGTGAGGATTTCTAGGATTTGTTAAAGAGTGTTGCAATGAATTGAGATAGCACTTGAGACACTTTTTTATATATTAAGGTGGTAAGGTACTTACATCTCCGGCCTTGTTTTTTTAGTGCCATTGATTTAATAAGGGAGACTTCGTATGGGTTAGTCGGAGCTAGGAACAGGTGTTCGGGTAGTTGCCGGTGAGGTAGTATTTGGGTGGGGTATCTGAGCTTGGATTTTTTGGGCCAAAAGGTTGTCCGATAGTGGAGAAGAAATCATTGAGTCTGTTTTGCTCGTTTCTGTTGTGGGAGTTGGTGTTCATCTGATTTTTGCTAATTTTATTTCGCTATTTTTTCGTGATATCTTTTTTGTTCCCAGAATTTCAGATAGTGGTTTTCCCAGTCTTTTTTATATACACCTCAAAATTGGGATAATGCTTTTCTCATAATACAATTTCTTTGCCCCTTCTTATCAGGCTGGTTAGATTGACCGAGTACGTTTTGTTTGGTTCTCTGGTTATGTGACCCATTCTGTACTGTTTTTCATATTGGGATTTGTTATTTATGGATTTGAGAAAATGCTGGGTGTTACCAGGACTGTTTCATCTCCTTTGCTGTCATCTGTTTAGTTTTTTAGGGCAGTGCTGTTTATAGATGAGGTATTGGGTCTTTTTTTAGAAAATTATTAATACATACGTCAATATCTGTATAATTTTCCTAGCTCAGTGTGCCTGTCAATGTTTGCTAATGCTGTTGCGAATGTATTTATGCTGCCCCTCTTTTGTGAAGTCTAAGGTGACTTTAGTAGTGTCTTGGGGTAGTTTAACCAAGAGTTGTTTTATGAGGAAAGGGAGGGTATTGGGTCAGTGGTATTATCGTAATATGTCCTGAGTTTAAAGGGATATTGTGTTGGGTTCCAGATGTGGTTCAAGTAGGGAAACAACTATCTCTGTAACTCTTGTAGGTTTGTTACTGTTGGGATTAACATACAGTTACGCATTGTTGTTTTGGTGGAATTCAGTAACGTGTGGTCCTGGTCTTGCCTGGAGATTTATATTGCAAGTCACCTGAGAGTAATGTAAGTGTCTTGTTCATGCGTGCATCAGTTATCATACTTCCTAGATTTTGACCTAAATTGGCTTAATGTTTGACTGTGGAAATATGTAGATTGTGTATCAATGTGGAGAGGTTTTTGTGGTATTTTGGATTTGAATTTAGGCTTTTATAATATTCCCCATGTGCTTCCCTTGTGCAAGTATTAAGTGATACATGCAAGTTGGTCTTGAGTAGTATATGGCTGTGCCTACCCCCCCCCCTTTGTTGGTCTGGTCCTACTTTGTGTAATGGCTGTGTAACCAGGAATGGGCATAGACATCTGTATCTATCAGGCTGTAGCCAGGTTTCAGGTATAGTGTATTGTATGGTCATATATTGGCATGTAAGGAATTTAGTGTGGATTGCTATGAGGGCTCGTAATGCTTGCTTAAAGATCTGATATTGTAGTTTAAAGTTAGTTATGTTGTTGTTGGCTCTGTGAATTGCCTTTGATTGTTCTGCAGTGTAGTTAATGACAGTTACTGGTTTGATTCATTTAAGTCATTAAATAAGTGGTTGGTATCAGGATTCAATGGCTGTAATCATTAAGATTTTTAGTGAATCTATAGTTAGCATTTTGTATAAAAAATATAAATAGGCTTAAGGTTTAAAAATACACCTGAATTTTTTTACAAAATGTAAAATATTGAGCTAAGGGGACTAATACAATGAAAGTGATGATCATATAATAGTGCTTGGGAATTGGATAGTAGGTTGTACTATAATGGTAATTTGTTTAAAAGTTATATTTATAGTTTAAAATTTATAATAAAAAGGGACTATATTGGTTTGTGAATAAATGGAGCTTCGGATTAAATGGCAAATTGTGAGCTTATTCTTACTTTAGCACCTGAGAATAGCACCTTGGATTTATTTTAACAGTATGTGGGATAAAATATACTAGGATAGTATATAAAGCTAAAAATAAAGGAGAAAAAATAAAAGGACTAAAATTAAAGTAATGTAAGCAAAGTTAAATGGACAGATGGAAGGAATCTATTATATAAACTTATATTTAAAAATACAATTTTGATATGGTACTTGACAATTGCACTAGAAGTCTGGTATGGTTGTTGACTAGATCAAGGTTAAACTATAGATTTAAATTGACAAAATAAAATACACAACAAAAATTAAAGTACCAAAGACAATAGTAAAAAATCACAATGGTTATGTCTTGGTTATAATATGATAGTAAGATGGTAGACAGGTACCCAGGTAGCACAGGTACAAAGGAATAAATTCAAGGTTGTGGTTGCATATATAAACATTGGAAAATTTTGGCAACAAAATGTTTTGGGAAGTATAAAAAAAATAATGTTTAATGTACAAAAGTAAAATTGACTGGTATAAATAAGGTGTTTAATTAATAAATAATTTTAGTAATAATAATATTATCAAAACAAAAAAAGTGAAATAGTAATGTTTAGTTCATTCAATATTGCACTGGTAGGTTTACTTTTGAGGTGATATAGCATACAAGAATGTAAGAGTAAGCTAGATAGTAAAAATGTGGTATTAAAACAGGTAAAGGTATTTAGTCATGTAATGGTTATTATATGTCAAATAATGTTCAAGAGTAATTGAAATTTTAGTAAAAAGATATTTATAAATTTAGTAAGTTATAGAACAATTGATAGTATTTAAAAAAAAATTTGAGGTAGTTTTCTTCTTCCATCCTCCTTTTCAACCGACGTCCCTCATTCTCCTTCTCACCTCTTACTTCACAACCGGACATTTCCTACAAATTACAGATCAGCAAAAGGCCTTTGCCATTAACGTGATAACACTCAAGCTACTGAGGAGCAGTGCGCGAGCAGTCAAATTTAATAGAGAGAAGGAAGTTCAGACTACTGGTCGAGTCCTCTGACCATGGAGGCGAGAGGAGGAGGCAGGAGGGTGACGAAAGACACAGCCATAAAGAGGAAGGGGAAATTGGTAGAGAGATTACTACTACTATTAAGTTAACTTTTACTATACTACTAATTATTATTATTATTATTATGAAAGCGGATCTCTTTGGATTTTAATCAGACTCGTTCCTAGGAAGGAAGAGGGGACGAACTGTCCTGGATATATTGTCTTTCACCTGTATGAAGAAAGAAGTAAAAATGAGAATCTACAGCCAATACAGGAGATGAGAGAGATAAATTAAGGAATTATTAGATATAAACGTACTCAAAAAAAATCTCATGTTCTCTCGGTGCTGTGTGATATATTGTTCTTCTGCCACCACCGATATTTTATATTCTATGGGAAACTTTAATTATAGACAGAATACAGTTTACAGGAAACACAAACATGAATACAATGTCAATAATGTCTATATATGATGGGATTCCTCAGCCACTTCCGAAGCCGGACGCAAGCCTAGTATGCAGCAAGCATTTTCCCCTCATGGATGGCCACGCTGAGGCGCGGGAACTTGAAAGTGGCTGGCCCTTGGGTCCTGGTGGTGTCGATGAGTCTGGTACTCCCAGTTCTTTAAGGAAACGTGTGGCAATTTTTTCCCCCCATGAACCCCATGGTGGCTATCCCACTGGGACAAATTGATATTGTTGGCTGGGTCTTTTATTACTCTCTCCCTACCTCGTGCTTATATATTTGTCGAGTCCGTTCACTGGTATCTTCTTCGTCAAGAAAGAGCCCCTAACACACAGGTAAGTTGTTTATTGATGACCCGCGCATCTTGCCTCCCGATGTAGACTAACGTGATGCGTAACCTGGATATAACCGATAAGCGCGCTCTTGGGAACTCATTGGTTGTTCCTTGCTTCGGGCAAGGGAGGACTGACTACTGCCGTCAAGCAACGCAAGTGTCAGGGGTACTATAGCATAGGGACAGCAAGGTCTTCTTGTAGATTATGGTATCGCTGATAGCTTCTGCGCGATGTGCAGACAGTCTCTTCGCTCTGGTGGTCTGCCATTTGGCAGCGCACTCAAAACTCAACACTCCTCGTTTAAACTCTGGGTCCAAAATCTACAATGGACCCTCAGCCCTAGCGCCAGGCTTGATGTTCCACCATCTGTTGGCTGCAGTCAATGTTTTTAAGATTAAATGTTTGTCTAAACTCTTCGTAAAAAAGCTATACTCGAGCTCGCGCTTGATGTACGGGCAACTTGGCAGGTTGTTCGCACTCATCTGCAATTTTACGCATAAATAAACACGGCTGTAAGAAACCATCCATTTAAATCCACATAATAAGTATACTATCATCCCTCTCTTATGTTTCTCGCATGGGACACACCATGACAATCAGGACCAGACTTGGGGTTCATTCGCTGGTAAAATGTCATTAATCCTCTCCGCATTCCCAAGAGTCCTCTCGCCAACGACTTTTTTTTTTTTTTCCCCCTCTCTCTTCACGATGTAAAAATAGGGAGACAGGAGTGGAGAGAGGCATGGGGAGGTCCACTCGGGAACTCCCCTCGTAAGACAAGCAAGAAGAAAGTTTTTGACCGGAAACTACGTAGTCTAAGTGAGCTGGAATCTTTAGTCGTGGTAAAATTGAAGAGAGAGAGAGAGTGAGAAGAGGAGAGAGAGAAGAGGAGAGAAGCTAGAGAGAGGAGAGAGAGAAGCGAGAGAAGAGAGAGCGGGGAGAAGAGAGAGAGAGAGAGTACAAAACGACTCAAAATGTATGGCATGCTATACTAAAAATAATAACATCGCTATTTTCTGTTTCTTCCACACCTCAGGACAACACCAGGTTTCTCTGAAATAAGGTAGGTTCTGAAATACTCGCCCTTCTAACTGTCAACTCTTAGACCACACAAAGCGCAGGGATGTCCTGCCTGCATATATAGTGTGTGTGTTAGCCTCCACTGTTTTTAGTAATCCTGCCTGCACTTCAGTGTGTTAGCCTCCACGTATTATACCAACTTGCCTGCACGTTATAGAGTGTTAGCCCCCACTGTTTAGTATCCTGCCTGCACGTACAGTGTGTGAGCCTCCACTGTTTAGTATCCTGCCTGCACGTACAGTGTGTTAGCCTCCACTGTTTAGTATCCTGCCTGCACGTATAGTGTTGTTATTAGCCTCCACTGTTTTACTCTATCCTAATCCTACCTGCACGTACTATGCGTTAGCCTCCACTGCTTTGTATCCTGGCCTGCACGTACATGTGTGAGCCGCCACTGTTTTGTATCCTGGCTGACACGTACAGTGGTGTGAGCATCCTCTGTTTAGTATCCTCCTGCATCGACAGTGTATTAGCCTCCACTGCGTAGTATCCTGACTTGCACGGACAGTGTGTGAGACTTCCACTGTTTTAGTTCCTTGCCTGCAACGTGACAAGTTGTGTGAGCCCTCCACTGTTAGTAATCCTGCCCTGCACGTACAGTGTGTTAGCCTCCTCTGTTTATGTATCCTGCCTGCTCCATCAGTGTGTTAGCCTCCACTGCTTAGTAATCCTGCTGCACGTACAGTGGTGTTACCTCCACTGTTTAGTATCCTGCCTGCACGTACAGTGTGCTACTAGCCAGCCCTACTAGCCGCACTGTTTAGTATCCTGCCTGCACGTATGTGTTAGTGCTCCACTTGTTTAGTAGCCTGCCTGCATCGTACCAGGTGTGAGCCTCCACTGTTTAGTATCCTGCCGCATCGTACAGTGTGTTAGCCTCCACTGTTTAGTATCCTGCATTAAGCACCGTATAGTGGTTAGAGCCTCCACTGTTTTAGTATATCCTGCCTGCCTGCACGGATAGTGTGTTAGCCTCCACTGTTTAGTATCCTGCCTGCACGTACAGTGTGTTAGCCTCCACTGCTTAGTATCCTGCCTGCACGTACAGTGTGTGAGCCTCCACTGTTTAGTATCCTGCCTGCACGTACAGTGTGTTAGCCTCCACTGTTTAGTATCCTGCCTGCACGTACAGTGTGTTAGCCTCCACTGTTTAGTATCCTGCCTGCACGTACAGTGTGTTAGCCTCCACTGTTTAGTATCCTGCCTGCACGTACAGTGTGTTAGCCTCCACTCTTAGTATCCATGCCTGCACACGTATAGTGTGTTTAGCCTCCACTGTTTAGTATCCTGCCTGCACGTACAGTGTGTGAGCCTCTACTGTTTTGTATCATGCCTGCACGTATAGTGTGTTAGCCTCCACTGCTTATTATCCTGCCTGCACGTACAGTGTGTTAGCCTAAACTGTTTAGTATCCTGCTGCACGACAGTGTTAGCTCCACTGTTAGTATCCTGCATGCCACGTACAGTGCGTTAGCCTCTTCCACTGTTTTTAGTATCCCTGCCTGCCGGACATGTGTGAGGCCTCCACTTGTTTTGTATCCTGCCTGCACCGTAACAGGTGGTTTAGCCTCTACTGCTTATGATCCTGCTGTCGTACAGTGTGTTAGCCTCCACTATTTTAGTATCCTGCCTGACACGTACAGTGGTTTGCCTACTCTTTACAATATCCTGCCTGCACGTATAGTGTGTTAGCCTCCACTGTTTAATATCCTGCCTGCACGAACAGTGTGTTAGCCTCCACTGTTTAGTATCCTGCCTGCACGTACAGTGTTAGAATCCACTGTTTAGTATCCTGCCTGCACGTACAGTGTGTTAGCCTCCACTGTTTAGTATCCTGCCTGCACGTACAGTGTGTTAGCCTCCACTGTTTAGTATCCTGCCTGCACGTACAGTGTTAGCCTCCACTGTTTAGTATCCTGCCTGCACGTACAGTGTGTTAGCCTCCACTGTTTAGTATCCTGCCTGCACGTACAGTGTGTTAGCCTCCACTGTTTAGTATCCTGCCTGCACGTACAGTGTGTTAGCCTCCACTGTTTAGTATCCTGCCTGCACGTACAGTGTGTGAGCCTCTACTGTTTTGTATCATGCCTGCACGTATAGTGTGTTAGCCCCACTGCTATTACTGCCTGCACGTACATGGTTGTTAGCCTAAACTGTTTTAGTAAACCTGCCTGCCAGTACAGTGTTTAGCCTCCAACTGTTTAGTATCCTGGGTCCTGGCCCGCACGTAACAGTGTGTTAGCCTCCACTGTTTAGTATCCTGCCTCACGTCAGTGGTGTGAGCATCACTGTTTTGTATCCTGTCCTGCACTACAGTGTGTTAGCCGCTACTCGCTTATTTTATCCTGCCTGCAAGTACAGTGTGTTAGCTCCACTGTTTAGATCCTGCCCTGCACGTACAGTGGTGTTAGCCTCCACTGTTTATAGTATCCTGCCTGCACTATAGTTGTGTAAGCCCTCCACTGTTTAATATCCTGCCTGCACGAACAGTGTGTTAGCTTGCCCTGTTTAATATTCCCCGGCCTGCCACTACAGTGTTAGCCGCCACGGGTTAGTATCCTGCCCCCTGCTCGTACAGTGGGTTAACCGCCACTTTTAGTATCCCTGCCTGCATCGTACAAGTGTGTTTAGCTTCCACTGTTTTGTTCCTGCCTGCACGGAACAGTGTTTGTTGGCCTCCACTTGTTTAGATCCTGCCTGCACGGACAGTGTGTTAGCCCCCACGTGTTAGTATCCTGCCTGCACTACAGTGTTAGCCTCCACTGTGTAGTACCTGCCTGCTCATACAGTGTGTTAGCCTCCACTGTTTTTTTTTCCCTGCCTGCACGTACAGTGTGTAGCCTCCACTGTTTAGTTTCCTGCCGCACGTGATTGTGTGTTAGGCCTCCACTGTTTAGTATCCTGCCTGCACGTACAGTGTGTTAGCCTCCACTGTTTAGTATCCTGCCTGCACGTACAGTGTGTTAGCCTCCACTGTTTAGTATCCTCCTGCACGGACTGTGTTTTAGCCTCCACCTGTTTAGTATCCTCCTGGCTGCACTACAGGTGTTAGCCTCCACTGTTTAGTATCCTGGCTGCACGTACAGTGTGTTAGCCTCCACTGTTTAGTATCCTGCCTGCACGTACAGTGTTAGCCTCCACTGTTTAGTATCCTGCCTGCACGTACAGTGTGTTAGCCTCCACTGTTTAGTATCCTGCCTGCACGTACAGTGTGTTAGCCTCCACTGTTTAGTATCCTGGCTGCACGTACAGTGTGTTAGCCTCTACTGTTTAGTATCCTGCCTGCACGTACAGTGTGTTAGCCTCCACTGTTTAGTATCCTGCCTGCACTTACAGTGTGTTAGCCACCACTGTTTAGATCCTGCCGCCTGCAACGTACCGTGTGTTAGCCTCCACTGTTTAGTATCCCTGCCTGGCAGCGTACAGTGTGTTTTAGCCCCTCCACTTTTGATATATCCTGCCTGCACGTATAGTGGTCTCGCGCCACTGTTTAATATCCTGCCTGCACGAACAAGTGTGTTAGCCTCCACTGTTTTAGGATCCTGCCTCACGTACAGTGTTAGAATCCACTGTTTAGTTACGGCATGCACACGTAGCGTGTGTTAGCCTGCCTCCAATGTTTAGTAATCCTGCCCTGCTCGTACAGGTGTGTGACCTCCACTGTTTAGTATCCTGCCTGGCACGTACAGGTGTTAGCCCAGCCTCCACTGTTTAGTATCCCCCTGCCTGCACGTACAGTGTGTTAGACTCCACTGTTAGTACCTGCCTGGCACGTACAGTGTGTTAGCCTCCACTTGTTTAGTATCCCTGCCTCACGTACAGTGTGTTAGCCTCGCAACTGGTTTAGTATCCCTGCCTGCACGTACAGTGTGTGAGCCTCTACTGTTTGTATCACATGCCTGCACGGTTTATAGTTGTGTTAAGCCTCCACTCTTATTATCCTGGCCTGCACGTACAGTGTGGTAAGCCTAAACTTGGTTATATCCTGCCTTGCAAGGACAGTGTTTAGCCCTCCACGTTTAGTATCCTGCCCGCACGTACAGTGTGTTAGCCTCCACTGTTTAGTATCCTGCCTGCACGTACAGTGTGTGAGCCTCCACTGTTTTGTATCCTGCCTGCACGTACAGTGTGTTAGCCTCTACTGCTTATTATCCTGCCTGCACGTACAGTGTGTTAGCCTCCACTGTTTAGTATCCTGCCTGCACGTACAGTGTGTTAGCCTCCACTGTTTAATATCCTGCCTGCACGTATAGTGTGTTAGCCTCCACTGTTTAATATCCTGCCTGCACGAACAGTGTGTTAGCCTCCACTGTTTAGTATCCTGCCTGCACGTACAGTGTTAGCCTCCACTGTTTAGTATCCTGCCTGCACGTACAGTGTGTTAGCCTCCACTGTTTAGTATCCTGCCTGCACGTACAGTGTGTTAGCCTCCACTGTTTAGTAAATCCCTGCTGCACGTACAGTGGGTGGTTTGCCTTCCACTGTTTAGTATCCCCTGCCTGCACGTACAGTGTGTAGCGCTCCACTGTTTAGTATCCTGCCTGCACTATCAGTGTTAGCCTCCACTGTTTAGAGTATCCTGCCTGCACTGTCAGTGTGTTAGCCCTCCACTGGTTAGTATCCTGCCTGCACGTTTTTTAACAGTGTGGTTTAGCCCCACTGGTTTAGTATCCTGCCTGCTCGTATAGTGTGTTATAGCCTCCACTGTTTTAGTATCCTGGCCTGCACGTACAGTGTGTTAGCTCCACTGTTTAGGTATCCTGCCTTGCACGTACAGTGTGTTAGCCTCCACGTTTAGTATCTGCCTGCCACTTCAGTGTTAGCCTCCGCACTGTTTAGTATCCCTGGCTGCACGGACAGTGTGTTAGCCTCCACTGTTTTAGAGTATCCTGGCTGCACGTACAGTTGTTAAGCCTCCACTGTTTAGTATCCGCCTGCACGGACTGTGTTATCCCTCCACTGTTTAGAATCCGCCTGCACGTA